CAAACGAACGGAGCTAAGGGGGGAAACGCGCCAGGTTCCGAAACAACGGGCCAGGTGTGAAAGCACCCTTAAAGTAACAGCAGCATAATAAACCTAAATGTTTATTTTGTCATGTAAAGTTACTCAAACAAGGAAAGAATGCAAGAGAATCATTCATTGCTCTTCACTGAGTAAGTTTACTAACTTTAATAAGAGTGAAGACTATGCAGTGTGTTATTTTTACATTTGATTAATTAACTGATAGGGGCCCCCTGACAAAATTTTGCTTAGGGCCCCCAGAAGTCTGGGACTGGCACTGTAAAAGCTGTTTTATTGTTGTCTTTTCATGGTTGAAACACTGACTGGGTGGTTACATAAGACATGATATGTTCATTCATGTTTATTTCATATTATAACTAAAAAGGAAGGTATGATTGCATTCACTCGCCCTCTGCGCTGCCGTTTAAACTGAGGCACCTATACAGCGCTCTGTCACGCCACATCAAAGAGCGTCAAAATGACATTAATTGTTTGAATTTCCTGAAGAAATTGGACAGCATTTGAATAATTAGACTTTGTTTCTTATCGAAAGTTTATATAAAACTAGAAGTTTCAAGTTAATTCCACACTTATATATACACACACACACACACACATAGATATATATATATATATATATATATATATATATGTGCCAGTTCATAATTTGGAACTACTAGTTCCGCAAGTGTGGAACTAACTTGAAACTTCTAGTTTTATATATACTTTCGATAACAAACAAAGTCAAATTTTTCAAATGCTGTCCAATTTCTTCAAGAAATGTATGTATGTATATATATATATATATATATATATAACTGAGATGCCCATGGTGCTCATTGTTCTGCTCTCTGTAGAACAGGCCATCCTTGACAGTTTATCATCACATCAATCTCTTCACATCCTCTCTTTGTCAAACAGGTAAAAACCTTCCACAAACTGCAACAAAGACAGTTTAACCAACATGCTCTGATCTCTAATTAGTTCATTAGTTTGCTGTTTAATAGTTTGTGCCCTGAGATGAAAATATATAATTAATGTTTTTGTTTTTGAACACAACTAGATTGGGTGCTAGATTGAGAGGGCACATTTGTGAGTTTCACTTCAGACATCAAGAGCGAGGAAATCTAAATGAAAACAGGTCAACACACTTGCATGTTTTTAACTCAGAAACACATGCATACTTTAAAGTGTGCTCAACTATCTAAGCTATTCTTACTAGCTATACTATTATTATTAGTTATGTAGATTTTAAAAAGTTTAATCTTCAAAGGCAAACAAGAAACATACAAAACACTCATCAAATTGTATATTCATAAGATCCTTACTTATTTTGAAAGTGTGTGGAAATATGATACCAACATGTTCCATTTACTCTTCACAAGAGCATAACCAAGTTAACTTTGTGACTGCTGAATTTCTCATGTGGAGCTCAAGATGAGAAATTCAAATATTCCCAGTGAGGTAGGCAGATGCAAACATGAATACCAACACATTCACACATCTAAACCAAATGTCAGAATTACGTTTCCATTCACCACATGTGAAACCTCAGTGCAACTCATGCTGCGGTTTAATTTTAAATGTTAACTTCTTATTTGAATGGTGTGAGTCACAATAAAAGACTTAAGTTCACAATTTTCGTGAAGTGAGACCCAAATCTTTTCATGAATATAAAATGTACCTTTTAAATAACTTTGCTAACTTAAAATTAAATTTGTTCAGCTGTATGTTTCTTGAGGCTTTTGAAGAGTAAGTGTATAAGTAAGGTGTCATTTGACTAATGGAATGAGTTACTGTGTGTGAGAAAAATATGTATTGTTTTTTTTAATCTGGAGCACATCTTGCAACCACAATTCAATAACATCAGTTAAAACAGGAAAAGTGCAAGTTCAAGTCTGTTGTGCTTGCATGTACAAAGGTGGTCTCACAGAGCACAATTACAAAACGTCACGTAGAACTGCATATAACGACGGAAGTGACCTAGATTCAGTGGAACGTTTACTATTTACAAAGGAATTATTGAACTTAGGTTGAAGTTCTAGACATGTTTGTTTAGAATAATATAGGAGGTAAAAAATTCATACAAACTCAAACATACAATACCAAACCAACATTTTAATATCAGGCTTTCTTTTGATCAGGCTTCAGTGATGACTTTACAATTATTATAAATTGTTGAAAGTAGTGAAACATAAAAAAATAAAATAAAAAAATCAGCAAATGCATCTAAATCTTTTTTTTTTAACATACACTAAGAGTATGAAATAATTAAGATTTTTTTTAATGTTTTTGAAATAAATATCTTATGCGCATCAAAAATACTGTAAAGACAATAATATTGTAATATTACAATTTAAAATAACTGATTTATATTTGAATATATTTAAAGTGTAAATTATTCCTGTGATGCAAAGCTGAATTTTCAGCATCATTACTCCAGTATAAAGTGTCACATGATCCTTCAGAAATCATTCTAATATGCTGATTTGCTGTCCATTATTATCAATTAGTATTGGTGATCGGTTATGAATAATGGCTCTTATTATTATCAATGTGGAAAACTTTTTGTTGCTTAATATTTTTTTGTGATACATTTATTGGTGTGCCGCATTGCTGAGCTTAAGAGACTCAAAAAAATATATTATTTTATTTATTATTTTTATTATTAAATTATTACTTAATTTTTTCTAACTTTTGTGACCAATATATATATATATATATATATATTATAAACAATATTCTATTCAGCATTGGTCTTGGTCTTGGTCTCAATGTCTCTGGGAGGCCAGGTTGTTCTCTTATGGGGGTCCAACGCAAGGAGGACCTTGGGGGCTGGGTAAGGGTGGAAGAGGACGCTTGCTTTTAGAAGACCTCTCCGATGTGGTTTGCATGTACTGCTCATCAGGCGGATTTGTGTGATCTGGCATTAGAGATGTAAGCCGGTACTCTTCTTCCTCTGCCCAACAGAGAGATACAGGAGAATGTGAAATCACTGGTTTTGAATGATGGAGAATTGGTGATAATTTTAAGAATATTTCAGAATATTTAGATTATGATTATGCTTTTTTGCTCCTGTAGTTATTTTTGTCATTGTGAAACATAACTACACTGAATGATATTATTACCTCAACCACACCTAATAGATGTTCGCATCTGTTCTAAGTCTGAATACAAAAACAATATTTGACAAATGTTTCTGAAAATAGTTCACTGGAAACGTACCTTTTGCCTTCCTCTTGTTTCGTCTGCAGCAGCGGCAGACACAGACAAGGCAGATGATGAAGAGTATGAGGAGGAAACTTCCTCCCCCTGTCAGGATCACCAGCATCCACCATAAATCCAAGCCAAATAGAAATCTCTTCTCAGACAAATCTAAGAAAGGATAAAATCCAAATAAAGTGAATTATCAACAATATCATGGCCAGCATTTATAATTTTATGAAATGCCAAAAGATGAGTAAATTATTGACATTGTCATCACTATTATTCATAATTTCAGCAAATGAAAACTGATGCAAAAACATGATTTCGCTTTTTGCATATAACATAAATGGATAATGAACAGTAAGCAGATCTTTGTAACAAATGTATTTTATATTACATGTCAGACACTCAAGGTTAATAAAAGGGACTTCAGGACAGAAATTCCTCAGTGGCAGCTCCATGGTAGGAAACATGTGCTACAGAAACAAACAATTACCTTTATTTTGTTCATTTCCACTCTTGCTGTTCACTTCTTTTTCTTTATCGTCATTGGCAGTTGTTGCATGTAGATCTTTAAATGGGTTATAAAACATTTTTTAAAGAGTACACGTTTTTCATAGACACCAACGTTGTCATGCATGAGATTATATATGTGACCCTGGAGCACAAAACCAGTCTTAAGTCGCTGGGGTATATTTGTAGCAATAGCCAAAAATACATTGTATGGGTTAAAATTATAGATTTTTCTTTTATGGCAAAAATCATTGGGATATTTAGTAAAGATCATGTTCCATGAAGATATTTAGTAAATTTCCTACTGTAAATATATTAAAACTTAATTTTTGATTAGTAATATGCATTGCTAAGAACTTCATTTGGACAACTTTAAAAGCAATTTTCTCAAAATTTTGATTTTTTGCACCCTCAGATTGCAGATTTTCAAATAGTTGTATCTCGGCCAAATATTGTCCTATCCTAACAAACCATACATCAATGGAAAGATTATTTATTCAGCTTTCAGATGATGTATAAATCTCAATTTCGAACAATTAAACCCTTATGACTGGTTTTGTGGTCCAGGGTCACATATGTCAAATGATTTTGATATACCTGTGTCAGAGCAAACTGGCTTAACTTCTTTTGCTGACATCTTGCTTATCTGGTTGCTGACTGTGCATGAGAAATTATCTCCAGATTTGAGCTCAGATGAAATGACATGTAAAAAGGCATGAGTTGCATTAGTCTTAATGCCATTTTTCATCCAGGACACAACCTCAGTTTTGCTCATTGGACTACAAGTCAGATTTACTCCTTTTTCTACACACTCAACCATGACTGTAGGTTCAGGCACTGGCTCTGAAACGCACACAACAACAGCAAGTCTTATTGCAGAAACACACTTGGTCTTGCATGACTTTGTGGAGCAAACAGAGAGGAGAGAAATGAGATTTGTTTGAATAGCAGCAGAACACAAGCTAGTACGTACCCAGAACACAGAGCTGTTGTACAGTTTCCTTTCTTAACTTTCCTTCTGCATCATAGATGATGCCCTTGTACTCTCCAGATTTGTCTTTCTGTACGTTCTCCAGTATCGGGGATCCATGGTGGAAACATGGTCATAAGGAACTTTGTGAGGGAAATAGACAAATACCATTTGTATTTTCATTTCCACTGTTGCTGGTCACTTCTATTTCATTGTCTTTATTGGCATTTGTTGCATGTGGACCTTTAAAAATTAGTTTCATCGAAACCAGTGTTGTCATGCAATATGTATGTCAAATGATTTTGATATACTGGACCTGTATCAGAGCACACTGGCTCAACGTTTTTTGCTGAGTTCTTGCTTATTGGGTTGCTGACTGTGCATGAGAAATTATCTCCAGATTTGAGCTCAGATGAAATGACATGTAAAAAGGCATGAGTTGCATTAGTCTTAATGCCATTTTTCATCCAGGACACAACCTCAGTTTTGCTCATTGGACTACAAGTCAGATTTACTCCTTTTTCTACACACTCAACCATGACTGTAGGTTCAGGCACTGGCTCTGAAACGCACACAACAACAGCAAGTCTTATTGCAGAAACACACTTGGTCTTGCATGACTTTGTGGAGCAAACAGAGAGGAGAGAAATGAGATTTGTTTGAATAGCAGCAGAACACAAGCTAGTACGTACCCAGAACACAGAGCTGTTGTACAGTTTCCTTTCTTAACTTTCCTTCTGCATCATAGATGATGCCCTTGTACTCTCCAGATTTGTCTTTCTGTACGTTCTCCAGTATCAGGGATCCATCTTCACTAACGTTGAGCTTGTTGAGCTTAATCTGTGAGCCTTTTTTCAAATAAACTCTCTGTTTATTATGTGTCCATCTCAGTTCATTGTCCTCTTGTAATTTTGCATCATCAAATGAAATCACAACTTTGCCACCCACAGCTTTGTAGGTACATGAAGAGACAAATGTACCTAAAAATAAAGTGGTATAAAAGTTTTAAGCAAAAGTATCAGTAATAAAGTGAGAAAATGTTGCTGTGTGTTTCGTATGTATCAAGCACGCAGTCACCTTGACCTTTATATACTGCTGGCATTATTTGATTTAACACAATTGTGGGAAAAAGACTGTGATATATTAAAATGGTTTTACTTAAAGGAATCAATACATGAGAGACATATGACTGAGTAAATAAATGGTTCATATGAAACCATGTGAAATGCAATACAATTTGATTTGATTGTATTTCCGTAAAATCCGAAAAAATTTTCTGTTACACATCTTTGATGACTGATAAAGTAAAATTTGACCAAAAACCATGCAAAATATTTCTTATGTGGTTTACTGATAATTGACTTAAGAAGAAAATCTGTTCATGATCAGACAAGTGACATTTAAGAAAATATAAAGATAATAATAGGCCTATAATATAATTTAACAACAACCTACCAGTGGAGAACATGAAGATTAAATTGATGAGGAGAGTTATTGTCACGTTTTGCAGCATTTTCACGCAGATTTCTGAGTGAGTTGTTCTGTTTTAAGATGTCAAGCTCACAGTGGCACAGTTTCCTGTACGTTGCTTCTCTGGGAGTGTGTGGGGGTGAGTGTCAGTACACTGCCAGTAATTCAGTACTATTCAAAGTTTTGGGTAGATGCCATTTATACCAATTTATTATTTTATTATAATTAATTAGAGTAGTATAAAGATGGCCATGTTTTTAAATATTAGTTAAATAACATCTTTTAAAAACTTAAAACTGTTTATTGTTTTTAAGATTTGATTTTATGCATTTTTGCCTTTAATTTCAATATTAAACTTTAATCGGACAGTGTAGAGAGGACAGGACGCAAAGTGGGAGAGAGAAGGGGACGGGGTCGAGAAAGGTCCATGAGCCAGGTGTCCTGACATGCTACCAGGGTTTACTGCGCATGCGCACATCAATATTGCGTCCTTTTACTCATGCTGAAAAACAATATTTAATGTATCTGCATTACTGTAAAGGTAGGTTTAGGGGTGGGGTAGGTGTAGACTTTAATAAAACACAATATAATAGGTAGGAAAATTATTTATTGTTGGTTTCCTGTAGCTGTATCCCTTCTAGCTACAACCGCGAATATAACACATAATTACTGTATTTGCATTACTGTAAGGGTAGGTTTAGGGTTGGGGTAGGTGTAGACGTTAATAAACCATAATT